AGGGTAGAAGCAATCTAGTAATGAATACATTGAGTTGACCCACACCTTACAATTGAGGCTTGTGAGTGGATGTGCACACTCTTTTTCTTCTGAGTAAGGTTTGAGATTATAAACAGTGAAGTGAGCCGTGGTGATATGCACATGTGTGCGTGTGTGTATGTGTGCATTCATTGCCTCCAAACTTCATTAATCTGGGATTTACATTGGATGTCTCCTTGGGCCTTGCACATGACACTACTTGTGTGGAGGTTGAGTCTGTTCAACTTTGCATCAAACCTCTACAGCGTTGGGGTCCTGGTGGCTTCAGCTGACCCTTGTGTTTGAGGTTGTTTTCCACAATGGTCTTGTGAATCACTGTGAACAAAAGCACCTGCTACATAAATGCACGCAGTCATTGACCTTAGAGGCCACAAATCATAGGTGTGGACCTCCGTACACCTGTAGAGACAGCTGCTGTGGATCAGCCTCCCATCCAGGGTCATTTCGGTCACAGACCTCAGGGCCAGTGGGAGACACCGTACCCCCATATTCACAGCCTATAGTTTACCTAGAGGGTCATACGCTGCGCCGCATCATTAAAGACCATTAAAGTCTGGCAGGGTTTACCATGAGCTGCGGGTGTGGAGCAGATTAAACAGTGAGATGCCGCATTTGCCCCAAATTAAAGGATCTCTTTCACAGGGTTCTCCAGGGTGAGCTGCTCTTAGTCTGGGCTGTGTCCATGGACCATTTATAGAATCAAACAGCCACTGGTGTGCTGCCCATGAAGACAGCAAAAAAAGCCTTTGTCAAATGCACTATTTATTTGGATTTTACTATGACACAGCAGTAGTATAGGCATATTTTAGTGCACTCAGTTCACAAACGCACAAGAAAAACTTAAGAAAATCAGAACCCCCGAACACTACAAAGCTTGTGTCACTAGTGCTAAATAAAAAAAACAACAACAAGGAATAACTTGTCAGACTGATATATTTTTAGTACAAGACACTCTTTCAGAAGAATGAAAACTTAATTTGGTACGGTGATAGCATTTCCAAGTAATGGATTACCACATCATGCACTGTTAAAAGTCCATGGAAACTCAGTTATAAATGATTAAATGCATTCTGATAGAGTGGTGTTATTTTGTAAGTATTCAGGCCAGTTTACAATACACTGAATGAGATTTGAGCTCCCCTAGATATTTTAACCCACATTTTCAGAGCAGTTGTGAGGAGACAAGCTCACTGTCAAGTTCTTACTGGGTGGTCAAAAAGGGTAGAGATCATTGGTGTGAAATACTTGCATTTAGGTTACATTGGGTTAAATATTCTTCTGTTGCAGAGAGGTGTTGGGAAAGACAGGACAGGGTGTCTGGGCCGTGATGAAGGAAATACTGGTAGCCTCAAAAACACAGCTAGCATGCTCACCATTGTGAAATGGTGAAAGTCTAAAGGTTTACTTGGTGCCTTTAAAAGAAGGATGGTAACCTGTGTGTGTGTGTGTGTGTGTGTGTGTGTGTGTGTGTGTGTGTGTGTGTGTGTGTGTGTGTGTGTGTGTGTGTATGCTTGCCTATATGGTGCATTTCACATGAAACAATGGAGAACATAAATTAAACATTCAAGCATGAAACAACTCCCACACGTCCAACAGTAATCATGTTTAGTAAAACTGTATTTACTAAACATGATTACATCATACTTTCGCTTTCCACAAATTATGTCTACATTCAGGTGTAGCCTACATACAACGGAAGAGCAATCAAAGATAAAATCTTTAAACATTTTGAAGACCAAAAAGGAAGTAAGAACTGTATAGGGCAAGTCACTCAGTGTTGTTGAATGCGTGTAGAACCGCATTGAATACTTGCGACCACAGTGCTGTGCCGGTGGGAGTGTACCGCTATATACGCAGGCTCACTTCGGGATATAGTAGCAGCGAGCCGTGTTGGAAGCAGTCACACTGACGACCACTGCGCTCAAGATAGAGGACGTACAATTCATGTTTTACAAACAACTGTTTATTTATAGTAGACGTAATTACTGCGTAAGCTTTATTACTTTTAATCGTAACTTATTGTAAAAAAAAAAAAAAAAAATCTGAATACATCATGGCAGCGTTATCAGGGGGATATAAGTGCATTAAGTATTTGCTGTTCACCTTCAATTTTATTTTCTGGGTAAGTTTCCGATGACGTAATGTCACATTTTATTTTTTATATCAGCTTCTTGCTGTAGCCAGTATAAGTGATACACCTGTCAAGTAACGGGCTCCAGAGACTGCTTGAGCGTGCATGTAGATGTTCTGTCGTCGACTGAATAGATGTGTTAAATTACGAAGCGACATAAACGAGTATTTTATAAAATCTAAATGCTAATGTTTTATTTCTGGAATGTTAACCTGTACTTTTTTCCTGACACAAAATTCTATGCTGTGTTGTGGGACGTTTCAATAATGAATTGCATTCCTTTGAATAACTGTGCACGTTGTACATAACAAGCATGCCTTCGGACTTTTGAAATATTTAAAGCAATGCAGAGCACTGATGTACGAATGCGCCGAGAACGCGGCGATGTTTTTCCTGCAGACATAGGCTATGGCTCTGTGTTATTTGACCGTATACGGCTTCTTTACCTGGCACTAATGTCCAATATACCTACAGAAGCCTAGTTTTACATCGAGTAACTAACAGTGTTTTAGTTTTGCCTGAATGGGATTATGATATTATCACTGATGACTCCATATTCTTTCCAGAGTTTAGCGCGGGGCTAGGGGATTCCGCCAGAATCGTGTTCATCTCTGGGACAACATGTCTGTTCGTAGCCTGTGTCTGTATGTGCCATGAGTTAAAGACAAGCAGTCCTATGTTGTCAGCTTTACATTTCACTGGTGGGTGCGTCTCCCCTGGATGCGGGCTATAAGAATTGCACAGACGCTCGCCATGCGTTTCTTTATAATGTTGAGATTCTAAAAATAGAATTATTTAATCCTTTGAACAAATTAAAATTACAGGGCGTTCCTCGCCTTCCTTGTAGTCGGACACAAGGGAACATTACACGATGGCCCATCCCGAGTTGTATGAATAATTTTACATATGATGTTGCATGCTTGCAGACTGCATGCGCGGGTTTAAGTAGGGGAAATGGGGAAACAGTTTTTATATATACAATTAAGGCAAGGTGTGCATACACACAACTTAGATTTAACAAGGCAAAGAATCTTACTTAATACACACACACACACACACACACACACACACACACACACACACACACACACACACACACACACACACACAATTGAAATGATAGTGGACCACTTCTAGCCAGTCCCCATATTAAGGTGAATTGATGAATAATGAAGTTTCTTCTTCAACATAAACACCATAAACACCTTTGCTGTTCAAGAGTATATATCCTTTCCCTTTATAGAAAGAATCCTCTGAATAACAGAAAAATCCATCAAATAGGTTGACAGTACATCTTAATCAATCGAGGGAAAAAAAGTGTATATTGTTCAAAGTAAGCATGGTGGAAAGGGCTTGCTTTAATAGGGCTTATTTACCTTCAGTGTGATGCTAACATTATTCATCATCTATCTTGTCTTATTAGGCACTGACTGATTTGGAAGCTTCCCTTTTTAGTGTCATACAGATGCTTTATTTTGCCCCTGAATCACCTGAATCAGAACGATGACGTATGCCCCGTCAAACCAGGGACTACAACTACTTCACAATCAATATTTGGAAACTAGTTCTTATGCACACTCATTTTGTCCCTTTATATCCTCAGCACTGAGCTTTCCCAATTCCCAGTTAGTCAAACTCCTTTTGGTTACATTTTGGTCTTCATGTTTCACGAGTCCTGCCGATTTCAGAATTATATAATAGTGGTATTGTGTCTCTCTGTCTCACTATTGAAGTGATATTGCAATTTCTTTGCCTAAAGGGAAGAGATACATCTATAGATAAAGATAATGTGTGGCACTGGAATGTGTTGTCACAATATCACAAACTGGCCCAAAAATGAATGTGATATCTGTGCCTGCTTTAATCACACTGTATACAATCAATGTAAATGCTTATTTGTGTATGACTACAGTTTTTCTTTTTGGTTTAGTGGATTTAACAGATAGTAACAGATTCTTGATTATCTGTCTAAATCAACACAGCAATGGGCCTTGAAACAAGAGGGTAAATGATCTTTTGACATGGGATGTAAAAATGAACGCTTGTGTTAAAGACCTCTCAGACACACAGCATTTTTCTTTGTTGCTCAGTTTTTTTGTGTTTTGTTAATGTCAACATCTGGACTGAATTTTAAAAAATCATTAACACTGCTTTAAAAACTTGTTTAGACATACTGAATCATAAATTGTGACATCCGTGGACAAAAACCACAAGCCCACATAAAAATGCACATTAATCATGCCATTCCTACTGTATGTATCACTTATGTGTAGTGAACCCGGCCGTCCAGATGTCAGTGAAAGAGTCTCTGAGAGTGGGGAATAACAGGACACAGCTTAATCAAATATAGGGGAATTTTCCTAATGGTCGGGTATGCTCCGCTCAGTAGCGCCCCCTCTACCCTTTTGGTGTGGGGCCTGTGATCTGACTGTATCAGCAGCTTCAATAGAGCAGCAGAACAGAATAGAGAATGTTTTATTCATCCCTGAATGGAGTTAGTGAGTACATGTACTGTATATTGCCATCAGCAGCAGACATTAAAAACTATAACAACACAATTAATAAAGACATGAAAAATGGATGCAGAGCAGTAGATAATCATGACATCATCCTCTTTTTCGAGAAGGGACAGCAGTCCAGAAAATACAGGAGTGTCGCACAATAGAAGTCAGGAGGTGAATACAAGAAAATTTGAATAAAAACTGTTGATTAAATAAGAAGTGTGATATTATCATGTATAAGAAGCATTTACATGTGCTGCTGGGTGGCTCATTCTGTTAAAACATTGTTTCAATGTGTGGATGGGCCCCATTGTCTTTTCAAACCCATGGGCAGCCTATAGCCTAGTGGCTAAGGTGCATGACTGGGATGCCTGAGGTTGGCGGTTCAAGAGTGGCTGTTGCTGTTGGGCCCTTGAGCAAGGCCCTTAACCCCACATTGCTCCCAGGGGAGATTGGCCCTTGGTTAGTAACTCGCTTTGGATAAAAGCGTCAGCTAAATGACAGTACAGTAATGTAATGTAACTTCAAACCCAAGAAAAAAACTGGAAAACATGAAGATGAACCAATCAACCAATAAACTAGAACTGCAGAAAGGAAGCCTCCTGGCTGCATGAGCGTATTTTGTCCCCTGGCAGAGCCATGGCTGTGTTTTTGCGAACGGGTGTTAATGAAGTTAGGAGAAAAACAGTGGGGGAGGAGTATCCCAAAAAATGAAACTCCAATAGTGCATTCAATTAATCATCTAAGCAAGAGAATATTAAGCAACATAATTATGAAATCAATTTAACAAACTATATTTTTTTATGGAACAAAATGAACTGATGACACAATGTCAAATTAAACAGCTCTCATCTCAACAGATATAATTACACTGGCGACACAAAGTATAAACTCTATCTTTTTCTTCTGGGCTACAATACACATTATTTATGAGTGGTTGCAAGTCTCCATCCTGACTGGTGGAAAAGGCAGCATACCGCATGCAATGCCGTGTAAGGGAAGAAAAAGCTTGCATGATAGGTCTTGTGTAATATCACTGCCTGCATCATTTGTGACTCAGAGCAGAGTAGCACAGCGACATAAAGGTTCAAGTGCATGATTAATGAGCACAAACTGTCAATCCCCAGGCAAAAGAAAGAGCTTGGGATAAGCACAGTATGGACTCAGGTAAATTATCAGTCTTGCAGTACTGTAGCACAGGGGAAACTCATGTTGCCTCATACTTCTGCCTGTTCAATCTCTGCTCCAGTCTGGCCAAAGTTTTGATGCTGCTCATATAGGGCAGTGATCATATGACTGGAGTCTAGAGACTAGATCTAGAATAATGGCCTACACAGAAAATCTAATCAAATGCATTTATGCTGTGCTATTTCACAAATATTTGTCACACTACACTTTACAATAGACCCTGGCGTTCCCTGACTTTACTACTGCCTCCACATTCCTGCAGGTTGCTCAGTAAACAGAGTTTGGACTCTGTGGTGCTTCCACAGGTTTGGCAGCTATTGCTGTTATACCTCCCCTGCTAATGGAAATTCCCTGGCACCTGTGTATTGTCTCTAATACCCTTTTCGCAAGGTTAGCGCTAGCTGGTGCTGAAGGCAGCTGGCAAGAACTGCGTTACTGCCTTCTACAGTTTTAAAAATGCGGTCAGTATCAGACCTGGGAATACACCTTTGTTCAGCCTAATAAAGTAACATTGAAAGCGTTTGAGGTAGGGTGTCATCCTTCAGCAAATGGAACAAAAATTCTGGCAAAAATGGAATTTCTCACTTATAATTTTAAGAAGAAAATAAGAACATATCACGATGAGAAGAGACCATTTGGCCCAACTAAAAAGTATCCAATACTGTGTTGAGTCTGGACTTGAACACAGCCAGAGCGTCTGACTCCATGTCTACATGAGCTGGCAGCCTTTCCCATGCAAAGTGCGTGGCAAACATTTGCTCACGTGTAAGTGAAAACATGCTTCAATCAAAGTCGTGATCTGAAGCCTGGTAAACTGATCACCCTGATTGGTCGAGGGCCTATCATGCCTAGAATTAGTCTGGCTATTCCACTGTAAAGTAAAATACCACCCTCTGCACAACCTGCTGCTGGACTCCAGCTAATATGTCACTGTTTGAAAGGATACTTCTTCATGGTTATACAGGCAATTACAATGAACCATTTTTCCTCATTTTATCAAGCAAGTGAGCAGCTGTGCTTCAGTGTTATTCACAGTCATCTCAGAAGGGCAAGCCACACACAGCACACATACAAAGTCTGGTCGCAAGCACGTCTCCATACACTCTGCAGACCATGGATACTGCAGCCTGAGAATTGTCAGAACCCACTTATTTCAGTCATCAATGCCTAAGGTCACAAGTTTGCTTTGAGAGATGGGGAACTACTTGTTTCAGGTCTTCCTCTTGCACCCATATCTACTCATAGTTGTAGTAGACAGGGTGTTAGTCAGTATTGGGAAACATTTTGTGTAGTATGACACCCTCAACATGACTGCTGGACATGTCTAGAAGTTCGTCAGTTAACTTGCTGCCAATGTAGACCTCTCAGAAAGTGGGTTTGACAGTCTTACAACTCCAAGCAGACAAACCAGCAGGAGACTTCTTGCCAGGTTCTTTGTCATTAATCTGAGCTGAATTGTACGTAATTGAATAACATATTTTGGTAGCGATCGTTGTCCTTGTGAAGGCCTCCATTGAAACCCCATGTCACGGGTTCCTCTATTAAGTTAACCCATTTCACATTAGTCTCCCATGGCATCAGAGTATTGAGTAACTGTGAATCAAAGTCAGCAGGGGCTTATGCAACAGTCATCCCCCTGGGTGTCTGCTGAAATTCACACAACATGTGAAAGTGGCAGATGGAAATATCTCAACAGGAGATATGGCTGCCTGCTTTTCTCCTTGCTGCAAAATCCATCGCATTTTTCACGTCTCATGGCAGCTCGTCACAGCTGCAGTTCTGTGGGACTGCATGGGACTGCTCAGCCACACACACTCAAAGCCGTTAAATCTTTGTTCATTAAAACTTTGGTCTTTCAGCCTTTGAAAAGACCCAACTCACAAGAAACTGCCAATTAAATGAGGCGGCAGGCAGAGTTTAAATCAGGCCTGAATTTGGCCCTCTGACGACAGGAAATGATAATGATACACAGTGCAGCAACAGAATTGCCCAGACCTTCAGTCCCAGCAGCACGTCAGCTGGGTAGCATCTTTTGACCTTTCACCAGACATCTTTTCAACTGTATTGATCCAATTCTGTTTATAGCAAAAGGTGAACCAAAAAGCTGACAGGATCATAGCAGAGATGACACACTTCATCAAAAAAAAAAGTGTTGTCTCAGAAGTAGCCTTGGTCAGGGAGTCTACTGGCATGTTTCTACCTTGGTTATAGAAAATTAAACATGGATAGATTATTTGAACAGGTAGGAGGTGTATATCAAGCAAACAATAAAAGGGGTGTTCTAGACAGCACAACTTAAAATATTCTGTCCTACAGGACTTCACATTGGGCATTTCCAAAACCCTCACAGAAACAGCAGAACTATTTTAGCTATTTAGGAAAAGGTTGATGATCAAGCTTACAGAGAGGAAAGGTTGATAAAGGCAAATGTATTGGTGGATATAGACCAGCAGCTTTAAGGGTGACACAACCATTTAAGTCATGTAATGTAATTACTCTGTGATCAGCATGTACAACAAATGTGCAAGGATATGAAAATGCAGTCTATTGTCACTCTTAATCTCTTACAAAGGCTGGGCCCACAGGCTGTGTTTATCTTTGAGTTGTAAGTTGCTCGGGATATGAGCATCTGCAAAATGACTGTAATGTAACGTAATGCAATGGAATCTTTGACTCTTATAATATGCTGTGGGTGGAGCGTGTAACCTGTTTAACTACTACAGGTTGCTTACATCAACACTGTGATAAAACTGAGGACACATAAATGAAAGAATGAAAGAACACACTCACTGACGAAACCAAAAAAGCACACATCCATGAAGGCAAATGCAGAGTCCAGTTTTAGTTTTTTTTTTTGTTTTTTTACAGGACCACCTCAGCCTTGAATTGCCAGGCCAAGGCCAGTCTCAAACCGGGTGGACACCCAATGTTTATCATTTGCTCTATGGCATCATTTTCTGCTGCTCTGGTCTGTCAAACATTTCAGCCAGATGTGCTGTACCAAATATCAGAGGCAGAACTCAGAAAATGTCCCTGGTGATTTTGTGTGGTTTCAACAGTTTCACTTGTAGAGTTTGTTTTGGTGCTGAAAATGTCTATTTTAGGTGTTAATTTTAATTTGCCCTCCAGGGTCTGCCTTGGCCTGGTGCCATGCTTATGTAGACTTTCTGCTCCGTTTATCTAAGTCATGACAGTCCTACTTGCTGAGATTGCACAGAGATATTGTATTTTGCTCTCAGAAAATATTGTTGAAGTTTTTTTTTTTTGCCCATATCACCTTTGTATCCAGTCTCATCACCACAAAGAAATTAGTTTTGCTTTACCCAACTGAAATGACAACTGAACCAGCTATTTTCCCACAGCAGGTATGAGCTGGCCTGCCCCCTTTTATTAATGATCATGCTGCATGGAGAGCAACAGCACACAAAGTTGTACACCATAGCTCTGCCAAGGGTGCCTCCTGGAGATAAATTTATTCCTGGAGAGAGATGAGGAGTCTACAGTTACACAAAGACATCTGCATAATTGGGTGTTATTGAACATGCAATTTAAGAAGGAGAAGAGCGCTGAAGTGAGCCTTAAACAGGGCAATGAACAGGCCTGACATTGAAGACATAACAAACCATGGAGCACTCCTGCACATTGCTATCACTTTGAGTCCGGTCCAAGGCCTCAGCCTGCACTGACATAGAGGAATATCCACACTACCGCTCCCTCTACCCTGAAAATCTAAACATCCTAAGGCACAGAATTAAAAGGCATATTGGAACACAAATCTAGGTTTCCACACCTGGTTAGGTTGGACCAATTGTTGCTTGGTCCATGTGGGCATCAGGCCATTGCTGGCAATGGCATAGCCAGGACTCGAACCATGGATTGCAAGACTCAAATGTTGCTTATACAGCAAGCATTTTTGCAGCTTGAGCCATCTACTAGCCTTTAAGGGTGGGTTGTTTGACGAATGGAGATACTGCACACAGTAGAAGCTGCCTGTAGCACCTGCAGGGTACTGAGAGAAGTATGAAATGTTGACATTTGCCATGGGGCATTTTTAGATACACTAAAACAACCAACTTTGTGAATAATTTAAAGTGTAAGAGTATCTGTGACAATGGTTAATCATCTTAATTCAAAAGGGAAAGAGTCCTGCAGTGAAGTGCCATTCAAATCCAGACAGGGCTGGATGTCCAATAGCTGATAGCCATAAGCTTTATCT